TACTGATGCTCTTCACTTCAGTATTGTGTCCACAGGCTTGCAAGATTTTGCATTTTTGGTGTTCCCTGGCAAAATTGTTGCCCCCCCCCCCTGAGAAAAGCTGGGCTTAAGATAATTATCCATGGCTGAAAACGCAGGAAATAGCATTTCCGAGGTTCAAATTTTAAAATTTTCTCGGGGGAGCATGCCCCCAAATATATTGGGAAAAAAAAATATCTTGCGCTGCACTTTTACAGGAAAAAAATATCTGTCGCGTTCGCCTGGGCGGAAAAAAAATTCTTGCACAGACTGAATCTTCCACCCACCCACCCCCCCTCAAAAATCAAATGGTCCGCCCCTAAGATAAAGTATTCAGGAAGTTTATACCGCAGTGTAACTTCACTGTGGGCGCAGAAATTTGTAAACACATGTAAACAAAATAGAAACCACGTTTTTTTCATAATTTTGAAATAATTTTTAACGTTTTTTACATGATTTGCTTTTGTTAAACAATCTAACCGAGGAAACGGCCTCGATTTTATCATTTCTCCAAAAATCGACGATGTCTTTCTTTGTAGAATCTTCTATAGTATCTGCCTTTTGTCTTTTGTCGTGGATCAGTGATCAAGCGCGCGATTTAATAGCCTTTGTACTTTTCAATTCTGTTTTGATTTGAGACTGAAATCGTCGCGATTCTTGGCCGTTTTTGAGCTGTATGCTGCCTTTCTCCTTCGTGTATGGCTAGTGCTAATGTGGAAACGACACAGGGTCTTCCTAAGGCATTTAAGGTATGTAAAAACATCGTCAAAATAACATAAAGCTGTTGCATCCTGCTGGAATTGTTTACACGGCTTAATTATAAACCGCTAGGCTTTGGTAGTTCGCATTTGGGAAACGCTGGACCTATTTTGAACCCTCATCCTACTTGGTTCCTTAAAGCTATTTCTTTAATGTAATTATGAAGCAACTTTTGTAGATTAGCCATGATCTTTGTGGAAAAATCTGTAACAGAACGGTTGACTGATTTGAAAGCCCCTAGTAATGTTTTGATACTTTGGTGTTTATTGTGCTAAATCGAGTCACGGAGTACCATGTAAAATGTCATATCTCATTAACCTTGCCTTCTATATCTGTACGGTTAGTGCAAATATAGAGTTCTGAGTTTTATGGTGAAATTAACTTGATTTATCATGGATATGTTTATATGGTTTGTTTATTTATAGCTAGCTGACATTTCTTGACTATTTGAAATGTTTTGGTTAAGATTACAAAGAATGTATATAATTGTTATTGTTTTTGTAAGCCTCATTGTGTTTGAAGAGGGTCCACAATTGGTACTTGAAATCTCAATTCTGACTTAAATGTTCTTTATACCTGTTGCATTCACATCCCGCACAACTTGTTGACAATTCTCCTAGTTCGTGTTATCGATTTTTCAATTGAATTGCAAACGTTTCACTGCATTCAAAATCCCATACAACTCTATACCAAGGCGTAAAAAAATACCTCCTGTTCCCGACCGACCCTATTTTTTTCTGCTGACCCTATTATTTTTTCAACACGATTGACCGTGCGACCCTATTTTCTCCGGTTCTCGCGGGCTGCTGCCAAAATGATGTCTGTTGTCACACTAATTATTGAAAAAACCATGAAAAAAAATATTCAAAAAAAAAATTATTTCCGACCTACCGACCCTAATTGGGTCGTTCCAGAAAAATCCATACTCCCCCCATGGTGGAAATTTCTGCTGTCCGGAGGGGGAGGGGAGAAAATATGGATGTTTTCTGGAATGACCCTTTTTTGCGATATGAAACCGGAACCACAGTGGCCGTTTTTTTACGCCTAAATGCAAAATTTTTAAAAATATGTAGCTCACATCCTGAATGTCCAAACATCGTGAAATTTTCAGTACCGGGTGTAGACTAATTTGAGTATGACGATTTCAATCCTGAGGTCCATTTTTGGCAAAGATCTGTAGATTGTGAGATGACAAATTGATGATGTCAACTCGGATTGGAGAATACAGTAGGGTTGGAGTGTGGATCTTTCTAGAACGACCCATTGACGCACATAGTAGCAATACTAACCGTACATACCACAGGCAAAGGTTGAGGAGCGATGTACCATGATGTGAACCCCCTCCTCATGCCTTATCAAAATTTCCATGATTTCTGGAGCTTTTCAAGTTTGTTGTTATAACAACCCCCTTATCACTTTTAATGTCGTTTAATCCAGTCCTAATGTAATTTTCTTAATGCATTAACTAAAGGTAATTTCTGTGGCAACAGCAAGGCCGAATGGAAATGAATCTGGATCACATGTCACTTCACCTACCCAAATACAAAAAGTATCGCTTGTGAAGTTGGCACCGTTGGAGAAAACCAATGCTTCTAAAACGTTGCGTAAGTTGTGGGAAAACTTCATTAAATTGGATGATTTGAAATCTATCATTATAGCACAAAAGAGCATCCTAAATTTAGTAAAAGTGCAAAGTTTGGTTGCAAAACGTTGTAAAATACGTAAAATATAGCGCTGTGAAATTAGCAAATTTTGCAGTATTTTAGTATTTGGCGCGAAAAAATGCAACATTTTTGAGCCGAAAGTGGTGCATTTTTCCGCGCGTAATACTAAAATACTCAAAACTTGCTAATTTCACAGGGCTATATTTTTCGAATTTTACTAATTTTAGGATGCTATTTTCAGCTATAATGATAGATTTCGTCTTTCTTATCTAGATAAAAAATTATAGTCTATCTAGCTAGAATCCTATCCATTGCAACAATTTGTCAGGTCTTGTAGTTGGTACGTCCATCACAGTAAATTGCAACAATTCTGCACCAGAAATGAACACGATGAATGAAACGAGCATCTTGATATTAGCAAATGTTTCATTGATTTGCTTGGCGAAGTTCTTAGCAGGGATTTTTTCACAAAATTGTATATTTTACGATTTTAGTCAATAATGATGCTCATCTTCGCAAAACATTTTCTTCGCTGGTAATAATTAAACTTTTTCTCATCATCAATGACAGTGTTCATTTTGTCCAATAGGCTAAAATTACAGTAACTCTTGATGTGACTTATTCATTGGTTTGGAACGAAAGAAATGAATAGGAATTAAAAATATTGGCAAACGCAATCAATCGTTCATCGTTGTCATCACTGCCATTCTTGTACGAGTAAGTTTTGTGCATCTAAAACCAATCAGAATAGGAACTATTTGTCTGCGCATTTGCGTTACAATTTGCACAAAAACCTACCTCCTAAAGCTCCTATAACATGTTTTGAATAATCTTCGCTGCAACACTAACGATGACGATGTCTATAGAAAACTTTCGTTTCTAGCGCGAGTAAAACAAATTAATCATTCGAATTAATCATTCGAAATCGTTCGAATTAAGAAAAAAACTACGATCAATCGATTACGAAGTTATTTTTGAAATATCTTCTAGCTTATTCTCGAAACGTTAGGAAACCTCAAGCGTTACTTATTGCGTGTAATGTGTTGAGGTAGACAATACCGTTTTCAATACAGCAAGACTCCCAAGACAATGGCGACCGGTATTACGTGGGTCGTAATCGCGCTAATTTTCAAACTATGTTAAGTTATGCAAATGAACTCATGCAGTGTGACGTTTGGGAGCTAACAGCAAGAGTTGGCCAAATTGAAAAGAAAGGAAACCGATTTGACAGTATAATCTCTCGCTGCAAGCGTTCGAGAAGGTCAAGCTTGTTTTGGTATATAGAGGCGCGAGTTTAATATCGGTGTAGACTTGTAAGTTTCATTGGCGGTTTTTAACAGCCTCAGAAGCCGTTACTGGTGAAATTTATATAGGTATGTAAGTATAATATGGTGTTTTTAGCAGATTTATTTCACTCATTCATAAAGATTTGTGCCGTAAAAATTATACGGCTATATAACGGTAGCGAAGTAATTCTGATAATCGATATGACTCGTCCATAATTTACCGTTCATTTTGTTTCGACTGACAAGAAAAAAATGTCTCTGCTCGGTACAATTAAATTCACCATTAGATTCTTGACAGTTTCGCCTTAAAAATGGTCAATATATAACATAAGTCTTTCACTTTGTTTAACTTAATTCCTAATATTGGCAGTTGGAGTTTATATAGGAACGGTAATTTTCATGGCTAACGCTTTATAGTTGAGAATAGTTACATGTTCATTAAATGAGGTTTGCAGTATGGCGAATGATTTTTAACTAGTAATGTCTTAAGTAAATATACTTTCCTTTTGTTGGTATTTCATTATACATGCCGCTGTGTGTTTTATCATATGTGTGTTCGCCGTGTGAGAATTCGTGGCAAAAATTGTGTGTGCTGCTTTAAAGCTACAGTAAAACATTGTCTATATATTCCTGGATGAAGCTATATGAAGGCTAAACCTCCTGTTATTTAGATTAGCAGTTTCAACTGATGCTACTGTATAAGCGACAGACTGACAGACTCAGAGGTCGCGAAATTATGTCTTCTGTTCAGTTAGCAAATATTGTCATTGATATCACAGTCGAAATCATTAGTTCATTATAAATGTGCATATATGACGCGATATCTCAAACGCGGGTGCAGAGCGTGGGATCTGGTATAGTGTAACTGGTGTATAGACTACTGGTGTAAGGCTACAGTATGAACCGCCGCGTGGTATGTCACAAACCACGGCAGCTCAGTATTGTAGAAGACTGGACCACCACGTTTGCGGTATCTTTTTCAGTATAGACACAAAACACGGTAGCTTATTGTAGAATATATACTATACCTACACTTGACCACCACGTTTGAGATATCTTTTTCAGGTAGTTCAGACACAAACCACAACAGCTTATTGTAGAATACTACCTACATTTGACCATGTACCGCGTTTGAGATATCTTTTTCATGTAGTTCAGACACAAACCACGACAGCTTATTGTAGAATACTACCTACACTGGACCACCACGTTTGAGATATCTTCTTCAGGTAGTTCACACACAAACCACAACAGCTTATTGTAGAAAACTACCTACATTTGACCATGTACCGCGTTTGAGATATCTTTTTCATGTAGTTCAGACACAAACCACGACAGCTTATTGTAGAATACTACCTACACTGGACCACCACGTTTGAGATATCTTCTTCAGGTAGTTCACACACAAACCACAACAGCTTATTGTAGAAAACTACCTACATTTGACCATGTACCGCGTTTGAGATATCTTTTTCATGTAGTTCAGACACAAACCACGACAGCTTATTGTAGAATACTACCTACACTGGACCACCACGTTTGAGATATCTTCTTCAGGTAGTTCACACACAAACCACAACAGCTTATTGTAGAAAACTACCTACATTTGACCATGTACCGCGTTTGAGATATCTTTTTCATGTAGTTCAGACACAAACCACGACAGCTTATTGTAGAATACTACCTACACTGGACCACCACGTTTGAGATATCTTCTTCAGGTAGTTCACACACAAACCACAACAGCTTATTGTAGAAAACTACCTACATTTGACCATGTACCGCGTTTGAGATATCTTTTTCATGTAGTTCAGACACAAACCACGACAGCTTATTGTAGAATACTACCTACACTGGACCACCACGTTTGAGATATCTTCTTCAGGTAGTTCACACACAAACCACAACAGCTTATTGTAGAAAACTACCTACATTTGACCATGTACCGCGTTTGAGATATCTTTTTCATGTAGTTCAGACACAAACCACGACAGCTTATTGTAGAATACTACCTACACTGG